TGCTCTGGAAACACTGCTCCCCTGCTCCCTTGGTGAGAGCCAACACAGTTTGGGCATCAGTCGACAAAGCGTGAAAACTCATAGGGTTGGACTGGTCGCAGGATCTGCTGTCTTAGTCCATCCGTGCACTGGAAAAGGGCCAAATGACCGCACCCCCCTCCACCGCCCTCCTTCCACGGCCTGACTGCCTCCCTGAACAGTAGACAAAGGGGCTGCCAAGTCAGAGCTTGGCACACCAAGGATAAACTCCACCACAGCCACAGACTAAATCCCCTGATGGAAGATTTCAGATACCTAATGGGGATTAGACAATATAGGGATGCAGGTTTGTGGATTCAAGTTAACAAACAAATGCACGACGAAGGAAATGTCACAACAAAAGCTTCTGAGTTTACTCATGTGCCAAAAGTGCATACGAGGGAAACAGGGATTGCGAATTTGAATACGTTGTTTATGTGTGTGTGTATGTGTGTGTGCGTGCCAGGTTCGAGGTGGCCATCAGCAGTCAGGAGTCAGCAGCAATATCAAGGCAACAGCAGCAATAGAGGAGGGAAATTAATTGCTACCTTTACCCCAGCATTATCCTCAGTAAACTAGCTGTTTGGGGCCACGAGGACACTTTAAGTCTCTTCTTTCACAGTGGAGGTTAGAAGTTTCTCTAAGACACCAGGGCATACAAAGTACAGCAGGTCAGGAACAGCATTATCTGTTTAGATGCCACAGGCACTCATGAGACTGTCCTGTAAAAAAAACAAAAAGTGGTCTGTGCCGGCAGCTTATTAAGGATTTTGGCCGACCTCTAGCCACTTTAGAAATGAAAGTCAGGTGATGAAGTATATATAGCGACAATACCCATGTCAGGAGGTGGTTGGGGTGGATGGATGGGACTTTCACACAGGAGACAACTGTTTTTTACGCAAACCATGATCTTTCCCAAAACCCAACCCAGTTGCATTTGTGCCTAAACCTTTACAAACCATGACTGTGCCATAAGCTTAACCACGTGTTTATAGCTGTAACCACCATGATGAAGGTCTGATAAATTAGACATAATCATAAACAACCTGTCATTTGGGTTTAAGGTCCTGTTCATAAGAATAAATAGCAGATAATTCAATACTCTAATAATGCAAGAGCAAAGAACTTCCCCACTTAATGATTAATCTGCATGTTGAGTACTGCCTGTATATTTATGCTGTGAGTGCACGAGAGTGCGGCCACTGGGTCCCAAAGGGCCCCAACAAGATCTAGTCAGGCATCCACACTGAATGTGGAATGAAGTGAAAGTATTATTTGTGTACAAAGCCTAGTTTGCATTGGTAAAAATGAACTCTAATCCGTTTTTTCAGTGGAATTCAATCATCGTTTGGACCAAAATTACAGAAACACTTAATTCTCTTTTTCACCGACAGTTAAACGAGATGATGGACACCACTCTTATATTTTTACAGGGAATATTCAGCGAGAGCCAGCATACAGTTAGCTTAGCTAGGCCTAAAGACTGAAAACAAAGTTAATCACTTGGCCAGGCTTTGTGCAAAGGCTAAAAACATCTCCTTACAAGCACTTGCTCCCAAACATGTTTAATCAGTGTTATTGTGTGGGTTTCTAACAGATAGGCCCCCAACACACAAGCTACAAAGTGTATGCTAAGCTAACTGACTGCTGTAACTTCAAGCACCATCGGACAGAGAGGATTGAGGATTTTTTTTCTTCAGTGTCGTGTCTCCAGATAATTACAGAGGGCTACTGACCATGAAATTCAACCCACCTTGTGACATTATTCATTACTGACATTTGCATTATTGGAAATCGCTCTCAAGGTTGAAAATGAAATAGTGTCTGTGTGCAGAATGTGTCTCTGTGTTTATGTGTTTGAGCGATCATGTCTGTATGTGACCTTGTGTGTTCTTTTCTCTTGACAGCTAGTTCCAGTTTAAGGGGTGGGAGGTTTTTTTTATGGTGGTCAATTTTTTTTATGGAGGTCAATTTGAGCCATTCCGTATTTTATCAAGGGGCCGTGTTTCTGGATTTAACAGTCACAAACTGTCCATCGGTGTGAATGTGAGGATGATTATTTGTCTGAATGTCAGCCCTGCTATATACTGGCGATCTGTCCAGGCTGAACCCCACCTCTCACCCAATGTCAACTTGGAGTAATTTCAGCCCCCTGCCACCCTCAAAGAATAAGCGGTAAAGATAATGGATGGATGGATGGATGGATGGATGGATGGATTCTCTGTTCCTTCAAAACAAGGGGCAGCACTTGGACGTTCGATCACACAATGTGGATAATCCTGAGATATTTGATGATTGACTGGCTACAGACAAGTGTGCTCATCAAGCTGCCTTTGACCGACCCCCGATGGATCTGAGATTGGCATTAATACCCTACTGAACAAACTGGTATACACCTGTGCAGATGGTGCATTAGAGAATGACTCCACGGTCTTTAGCCGTAGCAAGTGAACAAGCAGCACTGTGATTTATCATCTCTAATAAGTATCTTGTGTTACTAATCACCTTGGTCAACATGTGTGACATGTTTTACAAAGAAAGCTTCATTAATTTTACATATTTACTGTAAATCATGGAGCATAATAACTACGTCTTTTTATTCTGATCTACTTTTTGTATCCTATGTCTTCACCTTTCTTTTGATTTAAGGTTAGGTTTGTAAGATTTAGGTGATTCAGCTGCAACATGCAACATCACCACTAGATGTCACAAAATCCTATACAGTGAACCTTTAAGGTGTTATCAGGACATTCAAGTAGGTCTAAGAATTCTAAAATTAATAATTGTATTGAGGGAAATAGGATGAACAGAAGATTCTGCATTGTGGAAGTTAATAGTAAAACTTTGAAAGATACGTGATAATTAGATATTTCCCTGTATACAGCCTCTTGATATGTTTACTATGAGTTCTAAGGAATAATTCTAACATATCTCAGCCAGGAAGAAGAACAGGAAGGTGAGGATTATCATGCAGAGTGGAAGAGATGTAGGAGAGGGACGTTCAACTCAAAATGACAGGACCATTAATTTAACAGATATTTGCACTACTGTCAGGAGAAATGTTGTGAGTAAGTTCTCTTTTTCTCATCTGTGTCATAAACAGCTGAATGGCACAAGGTGTTTTTGTCTTTAACTGTTATGAAATAAGCATATATGTTACACTCTATGTGTGACCCCATTTATATAGTCCGGTGGAATATATGTATCAGAGGGAAAGGATCCCTGTTGACTTAATTAGAGCCTTATATTGTTCTTCAAAGCATTGACTAATGTGGGGACACCGGCTGAGTGTGAATACAAATGACAATATATTATTCTCCTGAGAGTATGAACTTAAGCATCATTGGCAGTTTCACTATACTGCAGGCTTGAGTGACATGTTTCAGTTATACTGAAAAAGTCAAACTGGATTGACTCCTGTTTATCAATCAGTATAAAAAGAACTAACCATAGAATAACAGACTACATCTCTTGCCTGCTGGAGAATATACAGTAACTTTACAGTATTTTGTGGTATAGGACTGTATATGCTCAGTGAGCCTTCATGGATTTGTACTTATTGTACATACTGCACCTGCTTCTTGTCAGAGCAGACAGCTATTGCTCTGAGAGCTTTTCCACTGAAGCTCTTCTGTTTTACTTTGCTTTCATGAGTAAACTTACACGTAGAGATGATTACCAGACTTCCCAGACCCCCGAGAAGAATGCAAACAAAAAATGTCAAGCTCAATCTCTGCCCACTGAAGAGATACAGCAAAAATATTATATTAGACCTTTCTTTATTCTTGATTTCTGTGTGGGTGGATAAATATTGCCAGGTCAGCTGGAGCTCATTGTCTCTACTTATATATATATATATATATATATGCATTATACTGAATACAGTATTGTGTCTGGCATCCAGTGTGTCTCTCTAGAGGAACCAAGACCCGACCTATACCCAAATATACTCTGTCCAATAAGGTCAGACAGGACATTGGGTTTCTGCCACAAGTCTTGGTTCTGCTTGTCAATATATTGATTACCTGTGGATCCAAATTAATCTGAACATTTTCAGTGTGAGCTCTCAAACCATGGGAGAACATGTTTCTACATCATCAGTTTATCATGACCATTTAAAGATTTACATGATTAAATAAAAATACATTTTGGAATTTGTTTTCACGGATATGTAATTGGGCAGAAAATTGTTTGCCCTATCTTTTGTCTAAACTGTATCCCCAAGCTGGGAAAGGAAAGTTGTATTGTTGGAACCGGAAGAGAATATAGAACTCATGAATTAAGGCAACAGCAACACGTTATTTTTTAGACTTATTTTTTTAAACTTCTCATCCTGGCATATTGTTAATCTGCTATTATCAACGTGGCTGCTGGTTAAATGATGCCAATGTTCTCTTACTGTTTGATGAGCCTCTATCAGCCAAAGTACCTGACATTCACATCAAGTGACTTCAAATAAAAGCTAGAGTAAATATTAGAACCTATGGGCAGAATAACACTCTATATATTGTTGTTTCATACCTGCAGTTGTGTGAGAATAAAAGACAATATGCTCTTTCAATTTTGGAGCAGGTGTGACTTGTTGTCACTGCCTCCAAGTGGCCAAAAAGAAAGTTATTTCAGGGGCCCATGTTTGAGGTTTGAGGGGCTCCTGGATTTATCGTCTACGCCTCTGCAGGGGAAAGGCAATGTTGTCAATTTGACTTAGAGCTAGAACCAAAAAACCAAATGGATGATTTAGTGTAATTTATTCATTGTTGCTCAATGAGGAGAGGAAGTGGAGGGGTGGGGGGGCTTTTTTAAATTTTTATCCTTCAGTGACTGACATCGTGCGCAAAACGTCGTGCGTCCTCATTGAGGTTTTCCCATAAATGCGCGCAGAGAGAGAGAGAGAGAGAGAGAGAGAGAATAAAAGAGAGAGAGAGGGAGAAAGAGAGAGAGAGCTCCTCCTCCTCCTCCTCTTCCTCCGTCTCTTCCCACCACTCATCCCAAACACGCCGGGGTAAGACGGTCTCTCCGCGGCGGAGTCCTCTCATCACTGCCCCCCCTCGCATCATGGGAGCTGAATTAAAGCGGCTGTGGTACGTACTCCGGTACTTTTCCGCCGTCCCCTCCTCAGCAGCAGCAGCAGCAGCAGCAGCCTCTGTCCTCTGATGTGCTTCTGCTCCTCGTCACATAACTTCTCTCCTGGTGTTTTTTTTTAATTCCTTTATAATTCCAGACACGCTGTCAGAAAGAACCCAACCTCCGACCTGAGAACTAAACTGCTCCGGAAAAAGAAGAAGAAGAAGAAGAGCTCGTGGGGTTTTTCTGTTTGTTTGGATGGAGAATTTGGAATCGGTGAGTTGACACAGTGAAGCGAGAAAAGCAAATGATGTTTGCGTCGCTTCGGATTGATCCATCTTGAGGCTCAAGTTGTCGATTTGCCTTCCAGTGTGGTAAATAAAGCTGCTTGAGGATGAGGTTTCGTGTAACCTCGTTTATAATCGTCACTTTGACCCGAATAATCAGAAAGTACTTTCTGTAATCCTGCGTAAAACAGCTGCATCCGCACTTGTCTAGTTTGAACTCAACAGGTTTGGAATCTCTCGTTGAATCTCTCTCTCTCTCTCTCTTAAGAAGATTAAACCCTTGTAAATTTGCCTGTTTATAAAAGAGCTTGACAAAAATCTCCTAGTATACAGACTGTTTTGCAGTTTTTTTCTTGACAGTTTTTACTGTAAATGGATTTTTCACTCTACTTCAATAGAATACAGGAGAAATATGGCGTTAAAATAATTATAGGGGCGATGATGCTTATTGGAAAAAGCAGTATATTACATTAAAACTCACTGTATCCAGTAGAAATACATTTAATATTGTGCAATGTAAAGGTTTATAGCTAAATGTGATGTTAAATTTCATTTCCAGGAAAGATACTTTTTTGCTGTCTCAGCCTTATCGGGGTCGTGTTGTTCATTTTTGACTTCTCGCCAATTCCTTTTTTTTTTCACTATGTCATTCTGTTTCTTTCTGTCTCTCTTTCACATCTCACACATTAAAAAATCTCAAACATCCATTTTTTTCTCTTTTCTGATCCACTGCTCTTACTCTCTTCCCCTGCTATGTCCTCACAAAGTCCCTCCCTCTCTATCCACCTAGATGGTGAATGAGCTGAAGTCAAGCTGGTAGTGAAGGTGCTGGATTTGTTCCCCCCTACGCCCCAAGCCGGACACAGCATGGCGGCGGGAGTAGCGGCATGGCTTCCCTTTGCCCGGGCGGCAGCTATCGGCTGGATGCCTGTGGCCAATTTGCCCATGCCAGTGGCACCAGCTGAGAAGAGCAAGCGGCAGGATGAGCTTATCATTCTTAATGTTAGTGGACGACGCTTCCAGACCTGGAGGAACACGTTGGACCGCTATCCAGACACCCTGCTGGGCAGCTCAGAGAAGGAGTTCTTCTACAACGAGGAGACCAAAGAATACTTCTTTGACCGGGACCCTGACTTGTTTCGCAGTGTGCTCAACTTCTACCGCACCGGAAAGCTCCACTACCCACGCTACGAGTGCATCTCCTCTTACGACGAGGAGCTGGCTTTCTTTGGCATCCTCCCAGAGATCATTGGTGACTGCTGCTATGAAGAGTACAAGGACAGGAAGAGGGAGAACGCAGAACGTCTGATGGATGACCAGGAGGACAACAAGGACGCCAAGCTGCCCAACATGACCTTCAGGGAGACCATGTGGCGGGCCTTTGAAAACCCCCACACTTCCACCATGGCCCTAGTCTTCTACTATGTCACTGGCTTCTTCATTGCTGTTTCTGTCATCACCAATGTTGTGGAGACAGTCCCCTGCGGCTCAGCACCCAACCAGAAGGAAGTTCCATGTGGTGAACGCTACACTGTAGCCTTTTTCTGCATGGACACAGCCTGTGTCATGATCTTCACCGTGGAGTACCTGATGCGCTTGTTTGCCGCTCCCAGCCGCTACCGATTCATGAGGTCGGTCATGAGCATCATTGATGTAGTGGCAATCCTGCCCTATTACATTGGCCTGGTGATGACTGACAACGAGGATGTGAGTGGCGCTTTTGTGACCCTGCGAGTTTTCCGCGTGTTCCGTATCTTTAAGTTCTCCCGTCACTCGCAGGGCCTGCGCATCCTAGGCTACACGCTGAAGAGCTGTGCCTCCGAGCTGGGCTTCCTGCTCTTCTCCCTCACTATGGCCATAATTATCTTTGCTACAGTTATGTTCTACGCAGAGAAGGGTTCAAGCTCCAGCAAATTCACCAGCATCCCAGCCTCCTTCTGGTACACCATTGTTACTATGACAACGCTCGGGTAAGAGCAGAGCACACACCTCTTTTATCTGCTTGCGAGTGCTGTGCCTGTGTGTGTGTGTGTGTGCGGATGTGTATTTGTAGTCACGTCTGTTATGGGTGAGTAAATGTTTGATTATGATTCGACTAGAAATGTGTGTCTGACGCTGTGGCTCAAAAACCTACAACTCCTTCAGAAGTCTGCAACAGCCTTTCCAAGACATACTTTACAAACTTTGCACATAAGAGAAGAGGCTACAGAGAAACAGCAGATTTCAGTGTGACTGTGTCTTCTGTGTTTTCACTACTGAGTATTTTTCTGGGGCAAGACGAGCCATTAAGATGTTCTATTTAAGTTAAGTCTGCACCATTGCCTGACCTTTATACATCACCTGTAAGAAGAATGAAGAGAGAAAGACACATGAGAGAAAGTAGAAATACAGAAATGGATAGAAAACACACAAACATAGATTATAGAATTACTTTCATCTCTTTCTCGCCCTGGGGTTAGCAGGGATGCTTTTTCTGTTCAGAAAGAACTGAAACAGGGATTTTGCCTTTTCCTCCTCCTTCACTCTCTTTGCGTGAGATACACCAGTTGCTGGCCTTGAAAATATTGTGCTTATTTGTACAAAGGCTCTGATGCAGAATATTGAAATGCTCTTAGTTTCTAAAGGCAAACAAGTTGTGGAGTCCCCTGCCATGGGAACATGTCAAGCATTTGGGATGCATTGATTTCTTATGTATCCCGACTTATTTTCCCTCATTCCTACATCATTGTATAGTTCCGACAGTCATTTTATGGCAGTGAGGGAAATCACCTTTCTGTGATGCAGCACTATTAGGCCTAATGGTAATGTGTTTTACGATAGTCCCCTGTTGTGGATGTGTGACTCAGACTGAGAGGCTGACAAATTGCAGCATCCTGCTAAATGTCAGAGTCATGGAGGCCACAAATGGCTCTGAGCACATTGCTGTGACACACTTGGCACAATGTCATCTTGCCCTGCCATTTACAACCAACCCAGAAGATCTGGTGTTGAGCAGTTGTTTGGTTCTGAATTGATTGTTTGGTCCATGGATCGTTGTATAGCTGCGGCCTTGTGGACAATAATGTGGCGTTCTCTGCTCTGCTGTGTGTTAAATTTTGTGAACGCGCAGTCTTGCCCTGCTCTCCATGACAGCCCATATACTCTCTACACTGTATCTCCCCACTGGAGTGATACCTGAGATGCTAAACCAGTCTCCTGTTGCTTTTACAGTAGGATTGCGGAAGAGGAGGGTTTGTGTGCATATGTCTGTTTGTGTGTTAAAGGAGGGGGGGTAGTTGTTGAGCTTGCCCTCATCAATAAAGCAGGGACTAGAAGTGGGTGTCAGAGTGACTAATGATGTGGCCCACTACATCTGCTGACTAATGTAAACCTACCTGACATTCTGGTCTTTGCTTTCAGTTTTACATCAAAAACAAGCACCAAATCACATACAAGCAGACTAACCATAAACACACAATGATTCTCTTCATGCATTTGGGCATGTGTGAACAGAAAGAGATGAATATTGTGTATTTTCATATGCATGCTTTTTATATGACCTTGGATGTATTTTTTGAGGGTCATCCAGTTCATACACAGACCGTGATTTCAGATTCACAAATCTTCTTACACTGTCCCCTCCACAACTTGCATTGGAATCAATGCTGCATGTGCAACAATTTATACTCATGTGACTAAATGAGATAAGAGCCAGTTGCCACAGAAGATGTTTTCCTTGACTTCTTGTCCAGCTGTCTAGGTGCCTCGGAGCTTTGTTTTTGTGCTGTTGACAATGTGTTCGGCTTTGTTCTGCTCGGAGAGAATCTCATATCATCTGCACTCTCATGTTTAATTTACTGCTTACTTCTGAGCTTTAGCCCCAGTGTTGTTCTAATGCTATGATTTGATTGTGTGTCTTTTTGTGTGGCTGTGTGTGTCAGATCATTTGTGTTCATTGGTGGTTTGGCCTACCTTTGCCACGTACATGCTGCCCTGTCCGCTGTGGTTTTTTGATTGTTTTGTTTATCTACGTAATCCGGCCTCAGTAAGAATCCCTAATCCCCCTTCAACAATGGGCAATGAAATACCAGGTGAATGTATTTTGAAGCGCAGTGCTCTTCTGTCTTCTCATAAATCGAAGTTGCTTTAGTGATAACAGTATGTTGGTAGAGAAGGGAAATGGAGACCTGGCTGAGAGGAGGGGAAGAAAATTATGGATAGAAAAAACAGACAATAGGGCATCTATTTATTGCACCTGCCGTGTTTGTCCTCAGTTGACTGCTTTGTTTGCATTTCAAAAAAGGTAGTCTCAGATGTTAGGAGTCCACATCTGTTCGTCTATGGTTTTAGAGGGACTTCTGACACTTGTATGAAAGCTTTTGTTGCACTTAACGTAACGAGTTGTCAACCTGTGTGTGTGTGTGTGTGTGTGTGTGTGTGTGTGTGTGTGTGTGTGTGTGTGTGTGTGGAGAGGTTATTACACACATGGGAAGGAGAGGAGAGAAATGACCGTATATGACATCATAATACAGTAGAGACTCACGCTGAGCTGGAATGAAACAAGTGCACATGAATCAGGTAAATAACAGAAATAATATAATTATATGTAATGTATTAGTACAAAGTGGCTTTTGTACAACAAGATAGGAGAGTACAATCCTCAACCTATTACAGGTTGTGGTTTTAAAACTCATAGAATAACGTTGAACTTTGCTCTGTAACATGAACAGGAATATGAATGAAATATTCTATTAGCCACTCACGTAGATGCAATAATCAAAATAATGTTGGAATATTGGTGTCCGTCTAAACGTAGTCACTGTCTCCAGAGGAATTTGACAAAAATGTAGTAGAATACCCTGTCTCACAATCTAAATGAAAGTGATGGATCTGCACCTGTACCTGGATCTCTACAACATTCTTTGAGTTCCTCTCTGGCCCCGTGTCCCGGACCTTTCACAAAGTTTGGTGCAAATCGGTTCAGTACCTTTTTGCGTAATCCTTTTGACAAATGAACAAAAAGACAGGAGGTTAAAAAACAGGTTTAATCACCCAAGTGAGTTACCAAGCCACCACCCAGTACTGTCATCCTCAGAGCCGGGTGCTCACTCCATAGCAGGGCTAAAAAGCTTAGCTGAAATCCTGCAGATGAAGGGCAGGCAGGCACACATTGATGAGGCTTTAGCTAAATCACAGACATTTAGGCAATTGGACCTGTGAGGGATTTTATTACCTGGGTTGTTAGACAAATTGATTTTGACCATTTGAGTGATAATAACTTTGGGCATTTGTCATATTTGGTTGAACATGTATAATAATTTGTTGTCTGGTTGGTGAGCGAGCAGACGTGGTGTTTGTGTGGGTATGTGAGGGACCTCAGCTTTTCATTACTGCTTCATCAAGACTTCAAGTGTTTCTATTGTGAAACACAAGGAAGAAAATAAGGAAATAAAATGTAACTCATTTGTGCAAGATCCCAGTTCAACAGTGAAGTTTGTTTGTAACACTTTTTGTCTTTCGAATTACATTTTCCCATATTGAATAATGTTTAGTAGTGGTACCAATTCCTCTAATGGCCTATATTATGGTGAATCTCATGTCTCACTTGAGCGTCTCTAAATGCAGTTGGAAATGTTCTATTAACTATGTAAACAAAACTGAAACAATATCTAAAATATAATGTACATATTATGTATTTTGCCTTTAGCAATGAGTCACAGTCAGTCAAATGTATTACGTTTGAAATTACCTTAGAGTTTTATCATAACATTATACTCATTAAAATGCTAATTCAGTCACATGGGAGTGAGTTACTTCTCCAGCTGTGTCTTAAAGAACTTTTTCCCTGCACCACTTGAAAAACAAATAATTGACTGAGCATTATCTAATTAATAGAAGGGACCACATTTTGTCCTCTAATTAAGTTCTGTTGACTCTGTATATTAAGTTCTTGAAAAAGTAAGGTAATCTGTAACTCTAATGAAGAAGGATGCAAATATCTGCCCACTGGTGGTTTTAGTGTATGACGCAACTCATTCCAAAATACCTGTCAGTGTGAATAACGAAGCGTGCAGGGTGCGGACAAAAATTTAGAATGATATTCTGGTTTCGGTCATGTTCCATGTGCCTGTAATCAGGGAAAACATTGGGCTTGGGTCGGATTTGGTTTGGGCTCTGTTAGTTTCCTCTTTGGCTCTGTAAGGTTGAGACAGAAATTGTGGTTCTTGTTGGGATTTTAGTGCCATAGTGAGTGATTAAAGCTCACATATACTGTATACAACTGTTGGCTGCGGGGAGCTATCACACTTGTAGCTGTTACACCACCGTAGCCTGGTTCCACACCTCAGAATAGCTGCCTACATCTGATTTGTTTTTGGTATTTTTGTACAGCTTTGATGTTACACACATTTTCGACATTTATCACTTGGAGAAACGGTCGACAAATCAAGGTATTTTATGCAGGATCAAGATTGTTGATTGTTGCAACTACTCAAGTTCTTCAGTGAACTTCTCCTGGCATGTCGATGGCATTAAGGGGATGGGTACTTCACTTACAACTGTTTCTGATTGATCAGAGCAAAACAACATAGGCTGAATGAAGGAAGCAAAACAAGAAGGTCACACAGGGAGCACATGCTGTACCTCCGCAACGGCTAACGACCCAATGACCTGTCTCACCATGAAGAAAATACAAAAATAAAAAAATCCTGGATCCACCTGTTAATCTGGACCCGCTCCATAATTAAGTGGGTTTGTACTTGGCCCACCTACCACGTTAACAAGGCCATAAAATACTTGATACAGTAAATAGTGTGTATTTGTTAGTGCAATAAAGACGACCACTTCAGCACTCACTTAAAACGCAACCAATTACATGAAAGATGTTGCATTCCCTATGCATCTTGTCATCGTTGCAGACTCATTGGACTCTTCCAATTGATGCGGTTTTGATTATAGTCATTAGCAAAGCCATGTCATAGTATGATTAAAA